ACTACTACTAAAATTATTATTTTCCATAACTACGTGTACTTACCTATTTATAACACGAATCTATTTGGATAGTGTAATCGTTTATTTAGCCATTTCGTAAGGCCATGAACGAGACGGATTGTCGAATACCTTTGGCATGTGCTGACGGTAGCGACATCTGTCGTAACATAAAACAAATACAATTTTAGGCTAACAGCAAGGTGAACATTTTAGCAGCTCGTAAAACTCGTTGATATAACGTTATCCCTCTGCTACTATTCGCAGTTTCATTGAAGTGGCAACAGTTGTCAACAAACGGGATACGCCCACTGATGAATGGTCGCTAGAGATGACGAGAGAAAGAAAGAGCAGGGACGATACATTCACTAACCTTACATAAATAAGAAGAAATGCCACTAAAAACGATAAAACATCCAGGGGGTAAATCTAATCAACATACTCTTATAATTGACGATTAACTCCTTTATATACGAACAATTTTTACAAACTTTGCCGCGTGCGGAAAACGAACGGAAATAAATTCATTACCGTCACACGTTTCATATAATTTGAAATTTCCCGGCTGCATTAAAACTAGCTAGTTTCCTTAATGATCGTTGGCCCAGTGTCCGCTGACAAGAACCCAATCAATTACATTATAACGTGTAGCCAAAACGTCAACTAGAACTAATGCCGAACAGGAAGTTTTCCGAACTGCTAACTTGGCAAATCATTTTTGCTGCCTATTCGTAGCCTCCGTATAATAATTGTGAATGCTGTACCCGTATACACTCTATTTTGGTCACTGAAGAACAGCCCAACGTAAGCAGTCGATGAAGCTGAGTAAACTCGTCAGTCATCCATATGTGGCTTCTTCAATCGGAAATTCAAATTTGCGATGTGTATGTATCTTGCGTTAAGTCAATAAATTGAAATCAATAACACCCTTTTGTGCTCTCCTAATGCGTGTTTAACCAAGGTCGGCGACATTACATAGCACCAAATGCTTAAAATATCTACTTTAAGGGAGCCTTAGTGTTAGCATTGACGGTTTATGACTGTCTATTTCTCTAAGAAAAACATAAAAGTAGGGAAGAAGGGAAGGAGAATAGGCTAAAATAATAAAATATACCTGCCTCTTTATTCGCCGACTGACTGCAAGATGTAAGTTTTGCGATAAAGGCCATGTAGGCGCAATGTTAACCCGTACGTTGGTAAATGGGAATAATAAAACGCAGTGAACTAACGTAGAAAATAACGTCCAGTTAAATATTACATAGGACCATATCGTCTTTGTGCTCGCTATCAACGTACGGTTCCGGACATTTCTTGGGACACCACGCAGTCGATAAGGTTAGCGAAAGTTTCGCGAGCGGAAATTCTGCATAGGACCAATGTTGTGGTTAAAGTTGATGTAGCTCAAGTTACCGATGAGGGTGAAATTTGTAAGTGCTTATTCTATTGAAACTTCAATCTCAAGCTTAAAAATGGAACGTTTTTGAATATTAGTCCTGTTGGGTAGGACGATATAAATGCGGTACTTTAGCACAAATGAATGGAGCAAGTTACAGGCCGACGCAAGGTGCTATAATTCTGTTCGAATAAACTTCCTCTAAAGATCCAGTCTCTAGAAAAAATCATTAATTCTCTGTCGTCGCTTCTGCAACGGGATGCAGCTTATTTTTGTGACTGACAATGGGAGTAATGGATGAAGCCAAATAGACGAATAAGGAAAGAAAATGTTATTGTTCAGCCATATAACGTAGTCTTGCATTGAAGCATTCAAGTAATTGAGTTTTGGAATTGTGGACTTAGTTACTTAAGTTACTTAAGCACATTTCTGTTGGATAAATAGATAGGGATTACTTTGATATACCGCAACATAAGGCAAACGTGTTTTGTTCATCTACACATATCGTACGTAGCAGGCACTCAATAGCCCTTTTTTTTTTTCGTTCTCTGGAACCTTCTTTCCTCGCTGGCAAGCGAACGTCAATGGCTTTCTCTTGTTAGAAGATTAGCATAAATTTACTCTCCAGGATGAATGGCCCATGGATATAAGGAGAGCAACTTTGTGGGCTTGGTTATGCCTTGTCGTAGTCCTTTTTGCGTGGCAATAGATGCGCATAACAACACGATGCATGACCTTAATCGCCCCAAACAGCAGCCAATTTCCACGTGGCTGCCATCAAAGTGATTATCATATAAGGCAAAACAGGAAGCGGTCTCTACGGAAGGATTTAAAGAACGTACTGTTCCGTTGATCGGAGTTTGCTAACGTCTTCATTTCTAACTTCAGTTCAGAGACTTGTACTACGCTTGCAATATAACTAACAAATGACAGATGTTCGTTACGCATTAGTATTACCATTACGATTACTTATGCTCGCTATTGCTCAAGAAACAGAAGCAAGGGACACTCGATATAGTCATTTCTCTAAATTAAATCGCTGCCGTCATCATATAAGTATAATAGCCGAGGTCAATTTCGGAATCATTTTATGTGTTTCATGCGCAGTTTGCTACAATCTAACATGTCACACTTACAACGCATTTTAGTACGTATGAGTTTCGTTATCTGCGTCGTTAGCAGATGAATCAATGTCTGGACGCGAGGAGACTTTAAAAAATTGTTGTATCCGGTATTACTATTAGGGCACACTGGCGCCCTGGAGGAAACCAGTGTATCCGGGTCCAAATCTAGACGAAGACATGATAAACAGGCAAATCATTTAACCATCATGCTATTACGAGGATATAGATCTCATACAGTCAAACTAGCGTAGCAGGTTTTTTGCATTCGCCTGCGAACATCAGAGACTCTAGGCTGGCACCCGAGCAAGGACGCATGTTGTTTCATGCTCGGACCCAGCAATCTAACGTAGTGCCTAGTGGCCCAAATGCCGGACGTAAAGCACGAATAATAGCACACAATCATACTAATAATAACATCGTAAATATTTTCATTTGTAAATCGTTACTCCATAAGTAGAACGGCATACAACGAGTATTTTTTTTTTCAGTAAGAACCGATTTTGTTTCTGCTGACGATATCGGCCACTTCTGATAGGCACGCATGAGGAATCCTGTATCATTCACTCGATCTATTCGCAATTACTATAGGAGATAAACAGTCGAAGCGTTCTCACTCAACGCTTATACCAAACAAAGTTATAGTTCCCGATGCTAAACCTACGAAGACACTAACTCACCAATTCAAAGATCATTATCGGGCGCGAAGATTTTGCATGATGAATTGGCAGTTAAAATTTTTATTCTGGAGAACGTATTCGATTTTGTTTTGTAGGCCTACAATACAGGCCTGTCGAAACCTGAATCCTTTCGGTGATTGCTATTTTCATTCATACACTTAACTTCCTCTATCACATTTAGTATCGATTATGAAAACTGAGCATCAAATAATGTCTAGCAAACTGCTTTAAGTGAAGAATATCTGTACGGGATGGATGCGCTCATTTCGTCCCAGAAACAATCGAATCGAAGGAAAATCTGTGTTTTAGATTTAAGTAATATCTACATTTTTGTAGTTACAAAGATGTTGTCCTGATACCATTTTTAAAAGAGAATGACAGTAACACAAAGGCAGGGATATTTATCTGCTTCGATCCTTTTTTCTCTGTTAGATTTTTCATTGCCCATTACGGCCGTCTAGCACGTAACCGCCATAAAGCCGGCTCGGTTAATAGATTCGAACGCAGACGTCTAAAGGCGGTTTTACTTCCAAGTTAGGTTAACAATTACCTTTATATTCGCTTTAAAATACTGCTGTAATTTTTGTATCAGCTACGCTTTTTATTGTTTTTTCTTTTTCTTTCGCAAACGCAATATCTGCCTCTCTATAAATAGAAAATTACTGTAATTAACAGTTTACGAATGAAGTAGTTTGTAACCTTAGGTATTGTATTGTATATTATCATATATAAATAACCATTAAGTGAAAATAACATCTTCATTGGTTTTATGGTGGTCCGGGTAAACCTCTGGTAGGCATAGTCTCCTTTTTAAAAGATACAAAATTAATTTGAAACCTTTATTACAGGAATTATTAACTCATAAATCTTATGTAAAAGGTAGCACCGCGTAGGCTATAAATTCAGGCGGGTCGTAACTTTTGCAACTTAACTTACTAGGCACTTTCCTTTCGAATTTGTCGTGCATGATTCTCAGTTGGACAAGGATCCGCCGCAGGCCATGAAAAGCCCGTGCTTAAGGCTTATACCCTTAGCTGATAATTCTAGATGGCCACTTATGTCATCACCTGGCGGATGATTAATTCATAACAAAAACAAGCCTATCCTTCACTAAACTACAGATACTCACGTGAGCCCGATGAAGTTTTGAGGTGCAATACAATGGTGAAGGGATTCGTCACTTGAGAAAAAATGATCACTACATATGGCCTCGATCGAATCGATCGACAGGAATAACGATAGGCTACCTCTTACGCATTTCTTAGAATGTAGCAATAAATATTTAGCTCCGATAACCTCCGATCCTAACTACTTGTTTGTATCCCAGATAAACAACTCACACAGTTGAATTACTCGTCAGCCATTAAGCTTTTACATGCACAGTCACCATGTAGAGGTTTTGCAACTGTCTTCTCTAAGCGCTCTTGATTGCATTTTACATTAATGCCTATGATAACGATAACGTGTCTTCCTGTTCAGACTGAGTATCTCATCAAAAGGTACCGCGACCCTTAACCTGCAGATCATTTTATAGGAACAAACATTTCATTATATGGGTACTGTTACGCTTGCCAAGATGACAATACGGATCCTTCTAATGGTCAGCAAAGTATATAAACCTAGGTTTAAACAGTGCCACATTTTTACTTTCAATATGAAGGAAATCCTTAGGTATTAAGCCATGTGATTTCACTAACGAGTTAATTCGCTTAGAGTCATCCTATCACATGTAATCAAGTAATAACATAGATTAGACCCGCTTAGTTATTAGAGCAGGATATGACCTAAACGATACCCGCTTCCTTTCAGCGACTTGATATCCTCTCATTGTCACCCATCGACACATAATGCCTCCGCGTCAGAAGCTACACCGTAAAGGCCACTCGAAACGTGTTAAACGGTTTGTCGAGGAGAATGATTTCGAACTTGATCCTATGTCAACGTTAGATGTTGAAGATCTTTTAACAGAAAGGAGGCATATCATGGTGGCCACACTCGTGGCATGCTTCACATTATTTTTCTGGATTATCGCAGTCAGTAAGTGAATTTATACGCGATACGTTGTGACATTTGCGTTGAATTAACTAAATTTCTTAAGATGGTCTCTTGGATACCGAATTTCGAGTTAACTTTCGAAAGGCATATTGATACAGTTCTACCTAGTCAGATCTCTTGATTTAGGTTAGCCATTAGAAATTTCCGCTTCTGTATGATAAAGCAAACTGTTCACTAAGTTAAGATTAAGAAAAAATAGACTTACCCTGTATTTTGGCTCGCGTAAACGAAACATAACTACAAAATCATATACACGAAAACAGTTTGAACCAGTTTATCCCGGCCGCGGCAAGATCTAGCAGGCTCAACTTGTGGCATATCGATCTCTGTCCCGTCCTTTCATCGCTACTGCAACTAGATTCTCCCTTTGTTAAAACTTTTTCGATTGGGTGCCCTGTCTGAATGTTGTCGTACCTGGCAGCGGTCGGTCCTCGGTAGATACAGCAGGCGCTTTCAGGACTACGCCGGTCTAATTGATTAGTGTGTAGAGGCTTGCTCTGCAGTTCAGTATGAAATTATGGATACGAGGAAATCTTTAGGTTGCATAGTAATATTTATGGCAGACAGCCACGTTATGTGGGGATAGGTGCTTGCAGATGGTGGCTATAACAGATACCGCACACTGTGAGCTACTGAATGGGACTTGTTGTAGTCTTAAAATTACCAAAGCATTGCATAGCGTATGATGCAATTTGGTTATAGTTAAAAACAATTCAAAGGACATTATAAAAAAGTGGACAAGAACACCTTCGGTGTCTGGATCATTCGGGTACGGCAAAATGCAACATGACAGAAGACAGTAGAACAACTTTTCAAATAGTCGGGCTAGAATGATGATGCTGATTATGTATTAGGGAGACTCTTTGTCATTTTTACCTGCTTGTCTCAGCGCTCTGCTAGCTTTTAGACAGCCGTATATCTACAATTCGTACTGCCATGTGTATTTCCTCTACCTGTGGCCTCTCGAGATAAAATGGCAGTAGCATATACTTACCCACTGCTGCCCTTTTTAGGGCATGGAAAGACCCGCCATCAGATAAACGTAGATCGGAAAAGTAAGCGGCTTGAATTACATGTTAGATATTCCTTCTCTGTATCCTGAAAGTAACCAAATCATTGTGATGAGGTCTGACGTTGTCATCAACTAACCAGACAGGATGCCTTCCATTGTCGTGCCAACGATCCATAAGTCCTTGAGAAACTCGAGATAGAGGGTTTTATTTTCAACGCGTATCCAATAGTAGCATATACCCTTAACATCCATTGCAACTACCATCGTCATCTTGCGCCCGAACCTACTCACCACTGCCACCGAACTCTTTCAGACAGGCGCTATTCTGCTGCCTGGTCTTTCTTCGGCTGGCGGTACTAATTGAACCGTGCCCCGTCTACTCCAAGCTGCTTTTTTGATAATCAAAGTTCCGAAAACTTTATATGGAACATACATGCATTTCCAATTAACCGGGAGTTAATCCACAATAAACCCCCTTTTTACTTAGATTCCGCATTTTCAATATTTGGTTTATAATTTTGTATCATGTCATCTGTGATTTGTCAGTTTCAGCCAACAGAGCCTTTGGATTCGAAGCATTGCTTTCGTGAAGAGGCTTGCGATAGTGCGTCCGATTTTCGAGTCATAACATCTGGCCTTTGTCCCGTCGGCTTTGAGCGCTTCAGTCTCTGTTCTTTAAACTTTTGCGCCATTTACATTACTGTGTTTGCGATTATCGCTTCCTTGCCGAATACCTTCACCAATCCTTGATGAGTTTCTGTAGCGCTTTGCCTTCGAAGAATCAAAAACCTGACCTCCGAGCGTTTATCTTCGAGATTAAAAAATGTTCTTTTTTCTGAGTTTATTTTTCCCGTCGTTAACTCGGTCAGTTTCCATTCACAAGTTCTTAGGGGAATTGAATGTTTGACGAGAAGCAGCGTCTGCTAGCGGCGCGAAATTTAAAAGTTAGTAAATTTCAGAGTCCACCAAATTTGCTTGTGACGGTCCGATAGATAGAAAAAAACACTGGGACATTGTTTATGGACACCTACAGAGTTTGCTGCGAAAACAACTGGAGCTAAATTTATTTATTTGTTGCTATTCAAACTTATTGACAACCCGAAGACAATGTAGCAGAGACTTGTGTAGCAGCGTCTGGCAATGTCACATTGCCTGAACATTTCAAAATACTACGCGGTCGTCATGTGTATTGTAGATTATTCTTCGTCATATCACTCGTTACAGGCTTCTGTCTCGCGATGATAGAATTAGACGTACTTTATGCTTGCCGAACTAAAGAACAATACGTATTCAAATGATCAAGATGGGTGGGCTGTAGAACTCAGTGCATTTCAACGTGTCACTAATAGACAGCGTTCTTTTGGGGATGATATAAAGACTTTTTGTGAGTCATTTTCGTAGTTCACGTATATAATAGTTCCACCGGTATTAATATCGTTACGCATATTCCTTATATGGAACATCATTATCGAGGGTACCACCTGGAAGGCTTTACTACTCGAAAGGCTTACTACGTTGACCCGGGAGAGTTGATCAGGGATGAAAAGAAAATCTTATTGCAAACCACTATATTGATAAACAATTTGCTCCAGCTACTTTATTCTCCACAAGGCTGAACATGATTACTTCTGCTAGAAGTATATTGCCACCATGCGAAGGAACAATTTTAAATGTATTACACAACTATATTCAGGTTGGCAATGAGTGGCAAATATAATGAAGTTTATTGAACTTAGAATTTCTGGCTAGTTTGAAAGGGATGTTGGAGAGTGCTTTTTTCTTTCCTGTCAAGTGACAGGAGGCACGCAAATTGTTGAAATAGAAAGCCGATCATATTATGTTATAGGTATAGTACACGGTGTCCTGATATTACTCAACGGAACCTTTTGGGTGAACATAGTTCTGGCTATTGCAATTTGGACATACACCAGTCTCGTAGCTCTGTAACAACAGTGGTACGCGAAGCATTAGGGTAGCCGTGATATAAATGCGATGTACAGTGAAGTCTGTTACTTACTCTAATGATGCATATTTCCTGCTACAGATGGGAACTAAAGTAATAGCCTTCAAATACAAATTTGCAAACAAATGCAGATCGATAAACACTGCCAAAAGCGAACGAGGAGAAACCGTGAGGTTTAGCTGTTTAAAGTTGCTCTCTAACTTCGCTTTACAGTCCTTATCGCTTGCTTATTGCCTGTGTAAAGGACATGCAATCGCTTGCAGGTCTCACTTTCAGGTCATTGGGTGCTAGACATTGAAGACTACGCTTATCTCCACCTAACATGTTTCTTATTGAAGGGTGAAAACGGACAGCCGTGGCAGGTAAAACAGAGAGGCCTTCTAATTTCTTACTAAAAACGGCGTGCATTGTGTGCCTTCAAGGACACGAATGAGGCCTTCTTCACAATACTTAATTAGTAGTCGGTTGACCGTTTGTATATAGTCTATAGCCCACAGCACTAACAGCCTTCTCAGTTTTGAGTTTGCATGGTATCATTTGTTTAAAGAATATTAGGCTATATATGTAGCTATTCGAAATGCTGGTTACAATGATCGACTTAAAAAGTTCAATATGAAATCTTTGATATAGCTGTCCTTCTCCTCAAGTTGAAGGCCCTCCCCATTCTAGGCTCGATCTTCATCGTGATAGAAGCTCTAGTATACGAAAACTACTCCAAAAAGCAGTTTCGAGTAATGAATGTAGTACCGAACAACGTAAGTTCTTCACAGTCTCACGGCAGCGATTGAAGCAGACAATCGTATGCCTCGCACGTCGTCGACAGAATTAGGTCGATCTATCCTGTTACGTCTGTCCGAAACAGGGAACCTGAGCAGTACGACACTCATAGACTTCAGGGGATCCTTTTCGCAGTACAGGGTTGTGAGTTTTCGATGACCGATCTGCGCGCACTAGCAATGACATGAAGATCGAGTGTAAATAATTGACTCAACGATTGTAGAAAACGTACCAGTTACGCGTCTCCGCCTCATGGAGTGTTACACGCATTATCGAAAATCCTATGAGTAACATTAGATACTGGTGGACGCGGAAAGTTTCATCATCGCAGTTTAAAGGCAAATGTACAGTTGGCGCAGCGGCTAAATGCTAATTCGGTCCCATGTAAAAAAAGATTTTTAAATACGAAAAAAAGAAAATCCGAGCTAGCTCGTAGGGAAATTATTGTATGGGAATCATTCAGAGCCTCAGATTATTCAGGTCTTTGAATAAATCTGCAGTCAAACCAGTACAAGGGACCGTTTCTGATAGATTGGAAAAAGAGGCCTTGTCAACTGACAAAATACCAGGTCGCACCAGTGTCGTATCATTAGTAGGTTTTAATTTATTTAAATTTTTATTTAATTAGGCACTGTGCCATTCATCATAGCTTTATAATGGTGAAATCTATTTTAAGCGGGCACGATCGAGATGATTTTTTGCCACTGTTATATCTGCATCAATATAATAAACATATGAGTTCTAGTGTTTTTCCAAGCTAATTCTGTTTCAACCGATTGAGACATTAGCTTGTTTAAATCAAACTAACTATTTCAATCGGTAAATGCAGCATGAGATGTGCGGGTGTTTGAAGTAACTCTTCCGGCATCGAGACCGTCAGCGAAAAGATTTGCCCACGACTTTCACCCGGTATTAGACCTATTCGCATTAAAGGCTCGATATAACTAACGTAGTTATGATGTAATCTTAAGAGAATATTAAGCGACGTACATTGTAACATATCCCGTGTGTATAAAGCAAGAAACTACTGAAAAACAGAGGCTATATTTAGCGCATCTGACCCAATTAAGCACAAGACGAACAGTTTTTTCAAAACGAATTAGGCAGCGTGCTCCGGGTGCTTAATGCGCATGTCTTTTAGTGCGTTGTGTACTAATTACGAAACAACATGTAGTAAACAGCCGCGCAAATTCAAATTTCGGTCGGTAAAAACGATCATAAAAATGTTATGTCGTATCGTAATTCTATCGAAACAAGCCTGATAATGTCCAACAAGATCCACTTGATGCCGCACCAAAAACGAGCTGGTTCCAATGATTTGTTCCCGCGAAAAACAAATAGCCCAAAAGCGTCTGATAACAATCAGTTAAATAGAAAAAAGCTTCTCGCAATTTCATATTAATTATAGTGAATGGCGTTACTACGGTCTACAGTTACCCCACTAAATCTTTACGGAGCTAAAGGCTATTAGGAAACACGCACAAGGCCGAGTGAATGGCTGTATATATAGTGCGTTTCTGTTATTAAAAAAAGTGACGCAAATATGATACAATTTGCAGTTGCCAAAAAGTCTGTCATTATTACTCAAATTGGTATGAAATTTAGCGATGTCTTTTCGGCTATTAGGAGTTACCGCAACCTGTACCCATATACATACAACGCTCTACGAGTGTGAATCTATCATGTTAGACAGACACAACCCGAACTAATGTTGAATGTTTTCCGCCTTAACCCAAAAATATTGTTGAGAGCTGTTACCCCCAAAAAAACAGACAGACATACAAAAATAACGCTTCTAACCAGATCGATGTTAATCAATACCAGGCGCATACGCAGCTGCTAACGGCTACCTTCTGGCCGGAAGATTTAGGAACGACGTAGCAGTGATTCTGCTCTCTAACCGCATGCTATTCATACCTATGATATTAATTATAAAAACTCCAAAAGACCTAATCAGGGTGCTTCCTGAGATTCGTTATGACCAGTCATTTAGATAGATACAGTAAATATAAGCCAAGACGTTTTGTCTCTATAAAAAACAAAAGGACCTGGTTGAACTAAACTATTGTCATCGGTAATAACATACATATGTTTCGCAGGCGTTAGTAACGGGTTGTGCAAAAGAAATATTCATCCCACATATATTTTCTTGCAGATTATCTCTATGACCCATTTTACATCATCTACCGTTTGCATCCACTCAGAAACGCCTGAGACAGGCTTAGTTTCAGTACTCGATTCGACACAACCACTATCTGCATTGCATGTTACCTCGAATCAAACAAAACCCTTAGTGATTCCGATTTAACAAAACGTTTATTCTCTGCTGACCTGTTATGCTACCTTTTTTTTTTTACAATTCTTTCTACTTTTGTTGTTCCGGCTCTCCCTATAAAATCTTCATCGAAACTATATTTCTTCTCATACTCTCGTAAGTCCGTGTTTGATAATCTACTTGGGTGCTTGGAGAACTGTTTTTGTTCTCATTATTACAGTCGACTTATTGCCTGTGGTTAGAGAACTGGGTCTCTAGAAAGCGTCACTGTGGCTGGTAACGCAACAGTTAGAATGGTAGACGGTCCCCTAAGTCTGTTTGGTAACAGAAAGAAGCCAGCTTCGAAGTAGCGAATAGATTCTATAACATTTCTGGATAATTTTGGCTATTGTTAGCTTTACACCCTAATACTTGAGACCTATTTGAGAATGTTTGCTAACTCGAACGTCCAGTGGCGTCTGTACAAACATAGTTATGACCATGTTTTAATCTTGCTAGGATTTAATCTTCACTTATCGAATTGCATATACGGATTACTTAAGGACCACAAGATACAAAAATTTCTTGCAAACTGAAAAATCTTTTGGACGTTTAAGCGTAATTCAGACGTAGTTCAACATGCTATAACGCAGCAGGTTTCAATAATGGTACTACTAATAGGAACCATAATTTGGATCTCGCCACAGTGTCCTTTTAGGTATTAAACGATTGCCGCTAGGAAAAGGATGTTTGTCTCCTAATGACGTTCTGGCCTTTATGAAGCGCGATCGAAGTAACACGGATATTTTGGCGAGACACGCGCTGGAACAATGACAAAAAAAAATTATTTAAAAAAATATAGCTTTGGTTCTGTGTTTTTTTTTCTCAGTGCTGTTATTAGAGCATGCAGAGCTTTATCTCATGCGATTATTTTTTGTATAATCGCTTTTAGGTATGTTTGGCGCTTAAATACACATGTCGGTCCTATGATCATTGCAGGCACTTCGTATTGGGTAATAATCGACGGCGGACCATCAGGAATACACATGAACCATACGAGAGTTACATATTTACATGGACATATGGGACTCTTTCGCATGTGCCGTTCAGTTGTACGACACTCTTGGCTCGGCGGTCGACCCTCTTCGGAGGGGGCTCAAGGTAGGCCATCTCCGTGACAATATGAATAAGAAAGACCTAGCTGTACTTTGTCGGCATTGGGCTGAAGCCGAGAGCAATTACCTTAGCGCCATATATCCCAGCGAATGATGCCGACACAACGAACGTTTCTTATTAAGGCTCGTTTCCTTAACGATGATAAAAGAAGCTTTCTTTATAAAATGTACAAGTATACGTTTGTACGACCACAAAGGCTTCCTAGAAATTGACGCAGGCCCAACTGAACTTCAGCCTGATAACCGTATTGTGGGATAGCACTAAACTCCTGGAAGATAGAGTAAACAAATAGAATAGCTGTTCATGACAAACAATCGCAGAAAATAGTTTATTTGATTTAAGTCAGGTTATTACTTACACTAGTTGCCCCCTCCATTCCAAAGGGTATTGTGGTGTCCCTGTAACAAAACAAGTACAACCATATAAGCTCACAATGCAAATATCATAAAGATTTCTGCCCTTCGAATTAATATATGAGACCGCATAATATCAGGCCGGTTCTATTGAATGCATGTACTTTTGCATTTACCAAAATGTACCAAAAAACTTCATTCGTTTGGTCTAACCTAGGCGTAGTAAATCACTTAAAACGAACTAGGTTTTACCAAGAAGGTGTAGTAACCTGAGAGAATGTGTACATTGACGCTTAAATCAGATAAAACTGAAAGTTTCATCTGATTTAAGCGTCTGTACCAGCGTTTTGTAACACGTTACTGCTAGCGAATACTATTTTAGATGTTAGATAGGTCAACTCAGCAAGAGACTCTTTCGAATAACCATAAAACGCAATTTTTCGTACTGCACCGGAAAAAACTAGCGCCAGTTTCATCGTTCTTAGGACTCGTGTGTTTTTCGATCTATGCTAGATATATAATTATGTCTATATCTCGAGAGCGCCAAAAAAAATTATCATTGACGGTCATAGTGGTACTTAGCTTGTATGAGAAAGCAACAAAAGCATATTACAGCCATGATCGTCGACGACACTTGGAAGCTAGGTGTCCTAAAATTTATAAATCCAATACTCTATTGATGAGGATAGCGCGTGTCAAGGGGCGTGTTTCTGAGTGCCCCACGATACCCGCCGGCCGATAAAGCGGCCTGGACAGAGAGGCATTCGGTGGCTGGCGTAACTATTCATAACGCGGCTGTATGTGAGCCATTGAGTGTGGCATGGGGCGAGCTTCTCCGAAAAAAGGAAAGGTTTCCTAGCTTTTGTTCAGTCTCAAGGATGTTGACAATGGTCGAAAAACCTTTTTACCGAAGAACTTGAACGCTGATCAAGGAGAGCCCGGTACGCGGAAGGATGTTCCGGGCTTTCTTTGATGTCAAGTCCTTGGCGATATCGAGTCTTGTGTTACGAACCGAACGAGAATAGCACTAAAGCAAATGTTGACGCGCATATTCGTAATAGATTTGAGTTCTAGATACTGTGAGTCGTTCGGTCTTGTCAGAATGAACCACAGATACTACTTTTATCTGCAATGAAATTACAGTTTGTATATAAAATGTATATGTCAGACCTCCGGGTTTTATGTCCCGAGCAGCCACGTGCGTGGCATCATACTCAATGCGACACAGTTGCCAGTTACAATGATGATATTTTCGTTTTTATTTGGAAGCAAAAACCTAAACCTGAGAGCGATATCGGACCATGTTCTTCGTGTACCGTACGGAGGTCGCGTCTCACATTCTCAAGATGACCTGAAAAGCCATTGACAAATGAAGGAACGTATAGGCATATAGGTGAACTATGCCAAAAGGCCAGTAATATCAGCAGAGAGCTTATATACGTATTCTAAGGACACTCACTGTGTACAACAATTAACAATGAGCGGAACAATGCCGTAACCCTAACATAATACTTAATTTTGCGTGCATCTTCTCCCCCCGTATGAGTATCTATTAGGATTGCTAATTCCGCTTCAACAGCAATGTTAGCTTTATCGAAAATATAAACCTACCACTATCAGTCTTGTACTGTATAATACGGTTATCCGTAGCTTTACGCAGTACTTGTTCACTGACCCATGTTGTTCTATAGCTCCATAGTTTAGTACGATTTCACGTAACACATCAAATTCATTCAAAAAGGACACGATCGTTTTGGTACCGGTAAGCCGCACAATAAGTCATTAAGTACGAAGCCACTGTACTAATACAATAGCTGCATAAATAGTTAATTAAAAAAGTTGTCCTTTTTAGAGGAGTGCCGTTATTTCTACGTAAATCCGAACAAGGCCGAATATAGCACAGACGCGATGTTGGACCGGACGATACTTGGTAAGGACTCACATGGCGGACAAGTACTTAGGATTAAACAGTCTTTTCACAGATGTGTATATGTTGACCGTTAACGTCCTAAAACTAGGGCGCGATGTGTCGTTTTTTTTTTGTTGTTTGTTGAATGATACTCCTTGAAATCCCAGGAAAAAGGATAGCATATTACAAAATGGCTGCGATAACGACTTTGCTTAAAAAGAGCGATTTCAATGGACTGTTCTTTGCTAGTTTGACATCTAATCGGCTATAAACAATCCTCGTTTCTGTTTATGGATATTGCTTAGTGGACGTAAACAGACGAAGTGTGTTTTGAAAATGGCCGGCACATGTTAGTGTATGGGATATCAACTCTGTATCAACTCTGCTGTCATTTTCAGAGTACACCCGATCACAGATTGCGTTTACCTGTGTCAGTATCTTCGTGATTATAATGGCTATCGCGTTTTCGATGTACACCTTTACGCAGCAGCGGTACATGTTCAAGAGACTCGCTGGAGGCGTCTATTTCATTGCTGGCAAGTCATTCTAATTTAGTAGACTAGGTATGTCGCTATACTAGTTGTTTCTCTATCAAACCCAGAAGGTATTCAATTTGTTAGACCCTAAATAGTGACTACTCAATGAAATACTTGATAAAATGTTGCAGGATAATATACGACTGAATTGTTTGGCCGCATCCATTAACCCAGATTTTGAGGAAATCTATTGAAAGTTTCTGTGGCAGAACTGCCAATACTGATAGTAACAAATTCTGGCGAAAAATTTTAACTGCTTGATATACCGGAGGGGCTATCTAGTGGTCCACGTTTAGCCTTAATCAAAGGCCTTTGCTTTATCCCGTCACTGTCCGTGCCCCCACTTCCCTAGATTCTAAACAACATTTATAATTTTTTTTTACGGTATATCATTAGGGGCATTCCCTAGACCTTTCCTATTGAGAGCGATCTAAGACCGACTCTATCCTTTTTCTGACCACACGATACACGAAAAAAATTATATTTTTTATTTTTTTCGGTATCGTGTTCCTTAACTCTTAAGCACAAACAAAACCCCCCACTGATGTAAAATAGACTAAAAGGTCAAGTTAATATCCTTGTTTCAAACTGTTCCGTAAATTTTCTAATAATTTTTTTAAGAATGAAATTCAGTGTTCAATACATTCATACCGGGTAATGCGGGTCAGAAGCACACACCGTTTATTCGTTGCTAAATATACCAGACGCCACCAGATGTTTTTTCACGTTAATTTTTATAAATCTGCTAAATAAAAGAAAAATTATATTTTTTTTCGAACCGAACGCGAAAGGGGGCATCGGGTCAGTAAAGCATCTATTTTTAACTGAGACGTTGTCACGATATAAATACGATCTTATCTCTTAGTTCTTGCAAACAAAGAATAAGATGGCAACGTCACAGGTAGAGAGGCCAATAAGTTTTTTTTTTGTGGCTCAATAGGAGAAGATGAACGTTAACGTCTGGATTGTTGTTTCGAATGTGTCTTGTTGGTCTTCACCCATTTGTGACGCACAAAGCAAGGACGAAGCAAATCTAATTGCTCACGATAGTACGCTTCTTGGTCTTTTCCTAGAAGGGTGTATGATAATACGCAACAATCATGACGCACTGCTGAAAATAGCCATTATATAGTCTTGTGTAGTTTTCTTTACTGTGGTTATAATCCAAGCTTGTTGATAGTGGCACGGTAATTCAAAGTACAAATACAAATTCTAGCCAGTGTTTCATCTCTGTAGGTTAAAAGTAAATCAATGTTTCCGCTTAGTCAGAGAGATACGTCCAACGACTTAAATAGGACAGACAGGCAATTTAGTGCAGCAAATCACACCATTGTAATAGACCTAAGTTTCGGTCTCGTTGAGGCCGTCGCCGTAGAGGAGAGTCCTATGAAACAAAACCTTATATCGTGCCTATTTTATTTTTTTTTTTTTGCAGCTGGAGTTATGCTGGTAATGATCGAAATTGAATCAAACAATACCAATTACGAGCAGAACCACTTTCATCAACGCCACCCATTTCAGGCCCAGTGGTCGTTTGGGTTATCCTACTTTCTCGCCTGGATCTGTCTCATTACTTTCGCAGCAATTGGTGGACTCTTCATTGTCTACTCACGTAAACGTAAATTGGACATTGCTGCCGATCGAGGATTCTCGCTTAGCTAGAACGGAGACGTATTGTTATTACGATCGTAATCTGTCAGTCTGATCCAGAATCTGTCCGCAGTGTTAGCTCAGTGGATATTGCACTCGTTGACCGAGAGCATGTGGACGTATTTGCACCAAGGTCAAAGTTCTTATCTATTTGCTTCCAGGTATAAATAGATTTATGCATACCCTTGACCCCCAATGCTCACACGTAAGATGTACTTATTGTATTTTGGTATGAAGCTCAAATCTTCGTCACAAGTTAAGCTATGTCAAGTTTAGTTTTAAGTTATTTCAATGTTTAACAAAGCTTTAGGCATTGCCGTTGATGCCATACGATAGATAGTTTGGGTGTTACCCAACGTCGTTATACGTCGCTACGAAAGGTTAGTTTTTAATTAGTTGGTACAGTCTTATGACTCCAGAGATGAGCGGCAGCGATAAGGCAGAAGCGATTGTTGACTGCCGTCCGCCAAGGACAAGCGACTTTTTAAGCTTGAGAGCGATTGCCTTCACATATTGTTAGGGTAAGGCGGGCACCGAATGTACTAAGTGAAGCTTGTTGTGCATTGTAAGACGGATTTTGTAGACTTTGTGCGGGTTACGTTTAAATAATTACACTGCGTTTAGGCAATCTCTGCGGTAGCCCATTAAGTTAAAGCCTTCAATCTGAATAGTTTAACTAATATTCTACATTAAGATGACTAATTGATAGGATAGATTCAATTGTCTGTGTACAATTTTAAAGATTATTTGGGTCGCAAACCAGAATTATTTTAGAGAAAAGATCCTTCCAGGCAAACAGATCTGAAAATGTGTTCCCCATCGTATAGCTCAAACAAGAACCATGATTTAAGCTCATATGGTCAGGTTCAAGGAATAATACGAAACGAAAACTCGATCTATTTTTACCTTATGTGAAAGAATATACTTGTATACCCAAAGTCTTTTTACCTACGTTTTCTATGACCTGAACGCTCCCTTTCTAATGACCTTCTTTGTAAGGTTAGTGTTTCAAGGGCTTTTGCAATGGTCCGTGTGTTATGTTCGGAGCTTACCTCGTTGTTTTGATACAATTTCTAGGATCGATTTTATAGATACACGGTTTAGATAGATGAGTGTGTACGAAAAAAGATCCATAACGTCACCATATATCGACAGCTTGACGATGGCATAGGTCATACGGATTTGTTTTGATCAGCCACAAGGCTATAGACGACGTTGCGAGGTGTGCCGAATTAAACTTAAGCGATGACGAAGAAGCGGTGAAGAAAAAGAAACAAAAATAATAATTAAAAGTACTCGATCGTTTCCGTCGACGAAGACTATTGTGTGTTGGTGCGCGGCGCGCAGCCCAAGTGACATGGGAGCGTTACAATGCATAGTAAACTGATCGTATCGGCACCTAAATGCATCTCATATGCTACAATCAGTGGCGCTGTAAACTGCATCTGATTACATTATTTAATGAGCTGTATACTTTAGTGAGGACTGGTCAAGATTAATTTACGATAATCAAGATCGCCACAATGGTACGTACGTACGTACGTACGGGCGGGCTATTCTTGAACGATAACTGCATGTATATTTGGGGAAATTATGATACGTCTTGTTGTTTCCGTTACTTCATGCATCGTTTCAGCCAACGAAGTACTCATCCAGCAGGTGATACCAAGGCATCAATAAATACAATAAAAGACAATCGTACATCGTGAGCGACACACACGTATTCAGTTGTTATTATCTGCTCTCAGACATCTACCCAAACTGTATATATCTTAACGATGTTTACAGCCACACCAGCCGTATTATACGATCGTTTTTCAAAATGGATACTGATACCTTTCTTGCTATCGCTGTTGCAGTAACCAGCCAGTGCTACGATTACTATTACTATTAAGGACAGAAGAATCCAGCCGTTAGTTTCATCTTCGCAGCTCGTTTTTGAGACAGCTTCCGCAGTTATTTCACGCTAGTAGATAAGAGAAGAGCTGATCTGATCATTGCGTAAGCAGAACAAGTAAAATCTTCATCTGGCATGAGAGGACAGAATCGACCTCCACGAACGATACGCTCACTTCCTGTATCGCGACATGCTTGTCATAGACACGACACAAAAAAGCCATTAACCTTGTTCCTAATGCTTTGCTTCTGTTCGTCAGTCTCTCATAACGGTAGTCGTCTAGATAGCATCTCACTTGGAGACCCGCATTATATTATATATGAGAAATATGTATAATAGATAGGAATATTACAGGCGATTGTTGTGGAAGAAGCGTCACAAGCAGCCACCCTATGGTCAAATTCATTCAAACTGGAAACGAGGCAATCCAGCTATAACTGTTAGTATTTTTCTTGCAAACAATAAAATCAAATAGAGCAGTGACAGGTCGTGAGATCGAAATTAGGTTTTTTTTTCACGTATCTATAAGAGGCTCGACGAGGTCGAGCCATTAACGATATATTGAAGAAAGAAAACAATGCATCGTGAAATGATCTGTTCAATTCTGTGTTAGTTGACATCTCCCATCGATTTCAGCAGCAGCAGCAGCAGCCGCCAACTCAAGGTTAGCGGTCGTGTGTTGGTGAATCTATGGTAAAAGTTTTGATCTTTCCTATACCGAACTATGGATGCGCGCTTGGGACCCCTTAGCTTCATCAGTACATCCATATGGCGAGCTAATAAGTAACGACTGGTACAGACACAAATTGAGAACAGGTACTAGCCTTGCTTCTACATATATATACTTACGTCTGCTGCAGGGGATGTAGGGTCTGGTAAAAAAAATAACATTTTTTTTTACCAGACCCTTACTCCCACCACAACGAAAAATGCTATAAAACTAGAGAGAATTAACAAATCACAAATCTTTTAATAGAATTGTTTGTTAATAGGGTCAATATAGAACTTTTTATACATTATATTCGTGCTTTTAATTGTACATTCTTACATAACAGTTAGTCGTTCCCTATTGGTTTGCTACTAATAATAGAAAAAGTTCGTATTTCTACCCTTTAGAACAATGGTTTCCTTTAAAGCAAAAACTGTTCTCTTTCAAATGACTATTATTTATAAGTAAAGACAAAGATGTAATATCTGACAGATTCGATCGTTTATCCATGCTTTTGCCTGTTGAGCAGCCGGCCTGCAGGTGTGGGCCGCCATTACCAGCTGCATCAGTCAGTCGACCCAGTCTGACAGGCAGGCGAAAGCCCAACCGAGCGACGAGCAAAAATTGTCACTAAAATGTATTGTCACGTGTGAAAATAACGTTGTTTTTTTTTCGTGAAAATAGCCCTTCCTATACATACACGTATCTGTGTGTGATACGTGATGATTGAGTATTCGTTTTATGTACATGTAGGCCACACAGAGCAGTGCGAAAAACTAATAAACCAGCAAAATGATGGGTGCCACGACGTTGCTGCCTCCCCCCACATCCTGGAAAAGCGCGCCACTAAAGGCGGGGGATGAAGAACAGCGATAGATCGATCTTCTATAACTTAACTGTTAAAAGTTCGTGTCACACATTTACTACGTTTACCTCTATTAGGGGATGCTTCGACAGATATAGTACACGCCGTGCACAGGACCCATCCGACAGTTTATTTGACTTGTTCTGCCATCAGAAGCATAGTGACGCGATTATGACACTCTTAGATGATGCTGTCAATACCGTCTCCGGTGCGGCAGCTATGACTGGCACCCAGTTACGACTGTACCGTAAATACCGATTCTGCATATGGTATCGTGCCTGAGCGGGGTGTGGCCGCAAAGCGATTCGCGCTGCGTGTGCAACTGGGGTTCTGCGCATGCTACAGATAGCGTTTTGTGGATTGTCTTTGGGATGCGTTCTATGAAAAAAAAAAAAAAAAACAATAGAAAACACCTTACGGTTACGAAACAGGGTAGTCCTTATATTCGTTGTACATATCATCTCTATATATTCATCATCACAGTACACTGTCTCGGCATTTTGTTAAACGGTCTGTGCATTAAGTGAGCATTACATCAACAACGCGTCGATCGGTATACCTATTAAAAGGATATCCTTTGAAACTGATTATAATTTTACTCGATGACGGAAGTGTTTGTATCATAATTTCATTAGTAAGGACAAATGCCAGGCAAACTATAAATAAACTTATTCAAGTATTACTATAAGTGAATGAAAATCTATTCGTTATGGAACACTTCCTGCTTACAGGCTTAACTTGGAACAGTCGTTTGTGATGATAGTGTTGTGAGTGGTCACATTGTCCTCAACTAAACTATAGCAACTTTTAAAGCCTTAGCTTGTCATACTTATGGTTGAACCTTTATCCAGTAAGGGATCGCATAGCTACCGTTGTCCGACTGTGTTGGATGTACATTGATACATCAAGTCGCTCGCTAGACATACGTACTATCCAAAGGTGACTAATAAGGCAGGTAGATTGAAAATAACAGCCCCAAAAAATTATAAACGCGGCTTCCTAACGAAAAACTCTTCGAAGATGAGTTTTTCGTTAGGTGAGCCATGGGAACATCGTCAATCCGGACAATCAAATGTGGCTAGTTATTTTCTTCGCGGTTAACGTCTCCGTTAGAACTACAGTAGTGAGTTCTGCTTCGTAAGTATCCTCTTTCTGAAGTTTTAAGGATCAGAACTTGGAACTGCTTCGAAAAAGGTTATGATTCGTTATTGGATTGTATATGTGTCTGTGCGAAGCAGTAGCCGCCTGCTCTGAAGTTGGTATCGGTTTCCTGCGTTTCCGTATCTAGCTATTTCATATCTAAGCTACATCGAAGGAGTACGTACCCTGATCAACTACTGCCATGTGGCGAACTCCTTTCCAGGTAATTTAGTGTACTACTAAGCTTAACTTACATTGTTTGCGTAGTGTGTCTTTTAATGGCAAGAATGATTTGTGATCCAGGAGAGAATCTTTTCGAAGCCCACTATGTGCCTCAGCTGTCACTAGTATTCATTACCACAGCAGAAAAATAAACAGTAACATATCCGTTTTTTTTGCCCGGTTTTTCATTTCTATTTACTTTCGTTTCGAGCGAAATAAATTGTTTTGGGGAGGAGGCTGTATATTGCGCACACTATGAGGATACTAAAGACACTTCGATGAAACAACGAATTATTATCCATGATATCTCGCAACCTGAAGAGACACATTACGTTACATTATGTAGAAAGTGAGATATGTAAATTGCATGTAATCCAGTTGCAATTACATTTTAATATTACTTTTGGAATTACTATTATTTTGAATTGAATAAACTGGATTCTTATTGTCTTATACTCAAAGAAGAGAAACCGAAATAAACGTATCTGTATCGTCGCAAAAATTATATGCGCATTAATAAGACTAGTTTAGTGCTTATTTGAAACTCTAGTGTTGGACTAGCGCTACGAGCAGCAGTCTGAAGTGTCATACTCGTCATCGCGGTGTCAACTAAGTAATCTGGTAAGCAGGATACCTCAATCACTACTTCACAGGACAGCGAGTGGAAAAGCTTCGCCAGGCGCTTGCGTTCTGTGTAAAGAATACAACTGTCTATAGCTTAGCGTGCAGCGCAATGCTCCATTTCGTTGGGAGACAAATGAAGAATGCTTGCTGAATTTTCTTGGAAGTATTTGCATGGTACTGCTCAGTAGAACACTGGAGGTGCTGTAGCAGGACAAATCCCCCTGTTCAGTCTATCATAGAATTTAAGCTGTTCGAAGTATAAATGGAAGGTTTAGAATTAGTGGTGGCCAGTGAAGTTCAACCATTGGGGGCTGGGCTCCTCACTCGGCCCGGTTCGTGTACCCAAAAGTGTATCCGAAACCTTTAAATGTATTATTCTTATACATATATAAGAATCAAGTTAATCTTTCTACACAAGAGACACCAAATACACCAGTATTTGCTAAAGGCGCAATCAATGATCAGCTAATCCAAACGCTTTGTATTGCTTCACGGCAAGGTCGCAGCTTCTAGCCATCAAAATGTACGAGTATACTATAGGGTAAATCTATTTTGGGTAGAGCAATACGTGTTGTCTCTGGATAACATCACCTGGCTGATTAACTGGGTGTAACCATGAGCGTATGCTTATTGCTGGCTTAAGCCTTTGTACTGGCAAGCTTCATGAAAAAAACAACAAATAAATCCAGCATTATCTGTACATCAGGACTGATGTAAACCTGTCGTTCGCGGATGTTGACGAAAAACCGAAGTAGACTCACTTACGCCGTATACCCGTGCTATAGCACTTCCGTTGTAAAACTCCACGATTCAGACAGGGAGCGATTCAACGAACAGGAAGCAAAGGCTAAAAAAACACCCCATATTGTTAAAAAAAGAAACAGGTTCTGTCCAGAAAAAGTATCACAAACGAACTCAAAATCTGTCATTAGCCACTTAGCTTCTACAAGGTAGAGACATTTGAAAAGGTAGTAGCTATTGAGGTGAATGTGTTTCATACCAGCTCTCGCCACGTACAGAGTGTTGTTATTGCACAAACGTAATGTTCAGACGGTAAGTACCAGGACTCGATTCTAAATCATCCTTCCGAGTTGTTTCTTCCGTCGTTAATTTCTAAATTGAAGACAACGTAAATAAAATGCTTCGCTCCAGTAACTTGGGGAAAAAACTACCAGGTGGTTTATATATCATAAGTTATTAACGGAATATTGACAAGTAGGGTCATGTCGAAGGTGATATTGCATTTGAATCGAAATGCTCGCAAAT